ACAGCTTTTTTGGATTTTGATGTCAGCACTACACATAAAGTAGCTTTGGTGGTGTTGAAAAAATCTGGGAAAAACGGAAGACCTAGATATATTGTAATTTGGAAAGTGGCAGCAGCAGAGGTAGAAGTGAAATGTTTCAATGGCAGGAATTCAGAGTGGCATTGTAAGGAGGGAGGAAGGTGTTGAACCTTAAATAATTATCTGGAATTTATGACTTTAGGCAGGTTATTTAGTTTCTATCTTAACTTTTAGGTGAAAAATGATTTGTAATGGTACCTTCCTGGTAGAGCTAGCTACCCGATTATTTAGATTTGAATGTCGCCTAGTGCATACTGTCAATATCATAAGCAACAAAGAAATAGGAGATAGAGTTGTGCAAGAGTGGGACTGGGCAGTACTTGTTGGGGTAGTGTCCCAGAGCCACATGACTATATATCTTTTGACATCTAGGTATAGGAGCCTTGATGGCACAATGGTTAAGCTCTCTGCTGCTAACCAAAAGGTCAACAGTTCATACCTACCAGTGGCTGTGTGGGTGAAAAGACCTGGCGATCTGCTTCTGTAAAGGTAACAGCCTAGGAAAGCCTGTGAGAGAGTTCTACTTGTCCTATAGGGTTGCTATGCATGGGAATTAACTTGGTGGCATACAACAATAGGTAACATCTGTCCCATGGTTCCCCTTCAAAGACTCTAATCTTGGAAATGGCCTGATTTTCATCTTGCTCATGAATAGTGCTGTACTAGAATTTGATTTTTAATATGGTATAGAGTGCTAAGTAGTTGAAAAACAAAAAAAAACAAACTCACTGCCATCGAGTTGATTCTGGCTCATAGTGACCTCCTTTGGGTTTCCGAGGCAGTAAATCTTTATGGAAATAAATTGCCCATTCTTCCTTCCATGGAGTGGCAGGTGGGGTTTGATTGGCCAACCTTCTGGTTAGCCGTCAAGTGCCTTAGGCACTATGCCACCAGAGCCTCCTAGTAGTTGAAAAGGAAACCTAAAATTTAATTTCAAGATAATATAAGAGGGCAGGCTTGTTTATCAGCATTTGTGGGGTAGGCTTTCATACGATATCTTTTTATGCTAGGAAAACTGTTGCGTTCTCTAGAAAAAAATAACTTTTTTTTGATGTGGATGATTTGAGAAACTGACCGATTTGTATCTTACTGCTTGTAACTGACCACTACTGTATCCTTTAGGCAGCCCTGTGTTGATTTAGGGAAGAACTGCTGTGTGCCAGGCAGTTAAAAAAACTAAGCTCACTGCTGTCCAGTCGATTTGACTCATAGTGACCCCTCCTTGGGTTTCCAAAGCAATATCACTGGGGAAGTAGACCTGTAGTGGTTGCGAAAGAGCTTTTGATTAAGTAGGTGTGGGTTGGGGCTGACAATTTACATTTCTAACAAGTTCCCAACTGATGCTAATGCTGCTTGGTGTGGGGACTACACTTTGAGAAACACTGACAAAGACCAACAAAGGGTCTCTGCTCAGAGTCCATGAGACCAAGCAGTGTTTTGTGCTGTTGTGCATGGAGTTTCCATGAGTCAGGTTAGACGGCACACAATGGGCTTGGTTTCTGCTCCATGATGCTTGGGACCTCAGCTGGGAAAATGAAAGCTCAGTTATTCAGAGCTCTTACATGTGACCTCTCTATGTGACTTGGTTTCCTGATAACATGGTAACCTCAAGGTAATTGGACTTTTTATATGATGGCTCTGGACCTTCACTGCTAATATTTCAGTGGAAAGCAAACAAGGCAGAGATGCATTGTTTCTGACTCAGCCCTGAAGTCATACAGCATCACTTCTTCTGTTGTTATTGATTGAAGCAATCATAAACCCACCCAGATACAAGGGCAGGGCACTTGAACTAGGTCTTAATTGAGGGAAGGAAGTTTGGGCATTCCTACTTCCGTAGTGATACTGCCTCAGAAACCCAAGGAGGGGTCGCTATAAGTTGCAGCCGACTTGAAACTAAGTTTGTTATTGTGTAAAAAATTGGAGTTTTGCTACTATAGGATGGAGTTCATACTCAAGGATTATTGTAGGTGAAAGTTACAATAATATCCTGAAATCTGGAATTCTAAATACTCTTATTTTACCAAAATTACTTACGTATACAAAACGAAGCATAAAGAAAAAAGACCCACCCATAATTCTGCCACTTGTAGCGTTGTTTTCAATGTATAATTTTAGATTTGTGTTCGTATTCACAGCCATTTTTCCAGAAATTTGATTTAACATCCATTTTGATTATTGTGTTTTAAGGTCTCGAGACATTAAATAATAAAGTTAAGATAATTATATAAAACTTTCCCATGGAGTATATACAGTATGATTCTTGTGTCCCATCAAGTTGATTACAATTCCTAAAGACCCTATAGGAAAGAGTAGAACTGCCCCATAGGGTTTCCTAGGCTGTAATTGTTGTGGGAGCAGATAGCCAGCTTCTTCCACAGGAGCTGCTCAGAGGTTCATACTACTGACCTTTTCAGTAGCATCTGAGCATTTAACCATTGCACCACCAGGGGTCCATGGTATGCTTACTGTGTATTAATTTCTAGATTTAGCAATTTTTTTGGAGAAAAGGTGTAATAGAACAAAAATATATTAAATGCCAGGTATAAGCTAATAGCAGTTTTTCATTGCCAGTTAAGAATTTTAATTATTCTAACACTGAAGGAATTCTGATTGTGTTACTATTTTGGAATATTCTAAGTTATAAATTAAAAGTTTTTTAGTTATTGGGAAAAAAAGCAGCTATACCCTGTTTTAAAAGTGAATGAACTATATTTATTGATCTTCAGAATGTTCCCGAGGTCACTTAGTAGTAGATATTTTGTACCTGGGGTTAGGCCTGGCCAGATCAGTATAAAACCCTTGATTTTTTTCCAAGGAATAGACTTGGACTTTATACCTGTTCAGCTGGAGGCTGAAATAGTTCACCTAAGAATAAAATTGGATACTTTCATCAAAACAGAAACTCACTGCCGTCGAGTTGGATCCGACTTAATAGTGACCCCTCGTTGGGTTTCCGAGGCGGTATCAATACGGAAGTAGATTGCCCACTCTTCCTTGCGAGGAGCAGCTGGTGGGTTTGAACCATCAGCCTTCTGGTTAGCAGTCAAATGCCTTAGGCATTGTGTCTCCAGAGCTTTCTATCCTGGTTTCATTTACCTCCAATATCAGTGAGAAATTGTGATAGGCTTTTCTGTGTAGAGTGGAATGGTCATGTAAGCAGAAAATGGATAATTTGACGTAAAAAGAATTATTAGCATTGCTTTTCAACTTGTTTATGGCTCTGTATGCCCTTTATAGGAGTCTTACTTTGTATTTTGTTTATTTAATCAATTTGATTATTGTTAAGGGTAAAGAATTGTATGTTTGTAATTTATTGGGCTTTAATTTTTTCCCTTTTAATGTAGGCCTCTGCTTATTTCCTATCCCCCAACTGTTAGAACAGTAACTAAACTCTTGAAAGTGTTGCGTTACCTCAATATTTTGCCTTTTGGATCTTACCTGATTAGTAGTAGCTTGCCTCTGTTGTTTTTATCTTAGGGAAAAAAGGTGACCTTAAACCAGAGGTTAGTTTTCCACTTCCACCCCTGTACATTTAACTCCATTTGTGAGAAAATAGTCCAGTGCACTGCCCATACAGGAGGAGGAAGCCTGAAAGTTATCTCATGTTTAGGGATAATGGATGAGGTGCATCAAAGACTGTATGCTCACTATTTCAGGAAAAATAAACTCTTTATACCACTTATTCACATGAATTCTTGTTGGGGGACAATATTTAGAAATTTAAGTTGTATATAGCTAGTGTTTGAACTCATCTTTCACAATGATTCCCCTTTCATACACTATTTCTCTAGTGTTAATTGATTAAAGGTTATTTTTTTGGCCTACTTCTTTATAAAATTTAGCACTTTCTAGATTTGCTTATTTCTTGGAGGATAAGCAGGAGGATCTCAATCTCAAGTAAGTTGTGGTCCTCACTTACCCATGTATGTGGGAACCATGTGTCTCACATATCTGATGCATACCTTTTTTGAGAAACCCTAAGAATAAACAATATTATGTCATTGGTTTACAATATTTGGTATTGTTATACATGTTTGGAGTATAGTTAGGCACTGCATGACCTCTAATTGGGCAGCTTTCAGCTGCATATATGTCTGGTCCTGTAAGGTTATAGTAGAATTAGAAATCCTGATCTGAGAATGATATGTAGTGAATGCAACAGCTTCCTGCACACAGCACAGGTATTTCATGTCTCTTGTTTATAAAGCGATTGCACTGCCAGGCTTATAATTGAGTATACAATATATGTATAACTTACAATACATATGATAGTCATAATAAATGCCTGTGTTACTGGTTTATGTATGTATGGTACTTTCTGTTATTTTAATGTGTATTTTCCCTATTTACACATAAAACTTTTACCGTATAACAGTGTATGCTTTGACTCATAGCAGCATTCAGTCTCATGTGTTGTATGTTCTTGAGTGTTGTAGCATTATCTCTCAGTTTAATTTCTTTTGAAAATACTGCTGTGAAGTGCATTGTGGCTCTCAAATGCAACAAAACTGCTAGTGGTTAATAGCAGCAAGAAGCAAAGGAAAAGTATGGATTTGGAAATGAAGCAAAAGGTTATTGAACAACATGAAGGTGGAAGATCAATGAATGCTATATTATTGCTCGTGATTTAGGAATGTTTGCACAATGTCCAAATCACATCACATCCTATTTTACAGAACGTATTGTGGATGTTAAGTGATTCATGACTATTAAAATTGATCTCTTATCTCACTATTAATTAAACTTAGGGAGGTATTTTGATGTACTAATCAATAGGAATACATCTAAAAAGTGTATTTAAGGAAAGAATTGAGACACCTTCAGAGGATTGTGTTGAGTTTGCCATTTTAGCATGGTTAGTTAAACTGGTATATTATACCTTCAGTATGGATTATGATTCCTATTTTCTTTTAAAATAGGGCAAGCTTGATGATTACCAGGAACGAATGAACAAAGGGGAAAGGCTTAATCAAGATCAACTGGTAAAGATGTTGTATTTTATTAAATATGTTATACTCACTGTTTTAAATGAAATTAATTTTGTGGTTATGCTTCCAATAAAATTGGGTTCTTTCTTTGTCATTTTAGGATGCAGTATCTAAGTACCAGGAAGTCACAAATAACTTGGAATTTGCAAAAGAATTACAGAGGAGTTTCATGGCATTAAGTCAAGATGTAAGTAAAAGATGATACAGATGTTCAGGCAGTATTAAAAATTAGGTTCGTAGAATGTTCTGCTGTTTCTTTGGGTTTCAGTTTTTGCATTACAATTGACAAGCTCCCTGGATCTCAGTTAAATTATCTGCAAAGTCCGACTTAGTTATATTTAAGATGCTTTCCAATTCTGTAAAGCTTGTTGCAACACCTGGAAGATGTTTTTTAAAAGGACAAAGTTTCAGTTAAAACAAAGATGTATAATAATAATAATAATAATAATTAAAAAAAAGTATAATTACCTTAAAGATTTCATTGGTTTAAAAGCTGACTGCATATATATATATATATATATATATATATATATGTTGATGGGCATTTATTTTCCATATATTCCTTTCATTAGGAATTTTAAAGGATGTGGCAGATTGATACACTATACTTTATTAACTCTTGATCTAACAAAGTGCTGTTTTTTTCTGGATACCATTTAATGTGACAAAAGGTTTTGGGAATAAGATGAAAAGCAATGTCAAATAATTTGTTGAAAGTTGAATCCAGAAAATTAGTAGTCTTCTCAATGTTGTTAAATGTCACTGAATCTATTTTGAGTTGAATCCGTTTCAACCAGTACCCCATGTGACACAGGGCTGCTCCATAGGGTTTTTTGAACTGTAATTTTTATGGCAGCAGACTGCCATAGTTCTCCCGAGCAGCCACTGGATGGTTTCTAACCATCAGTTAGTAGCAGAGCACTTAGCTTTGGCACCACAAGGGCTCCTTTCAGTCTTTAGGTATCCCTTATTTGGAGAAAGGCTAATACGGAAATAGAAAGATGTCTCTGATTTGGTTAAATGAACAAACAAAACAATTTATTATCTGATGAGAGACAATACAGTACAGGGTTTAAGCATTCTGACTTTGGAATGACACTGCTTAGATTTAAATCCTGATTGTTCCATTTCTGTGGGCTAGTAAATTGTTTGACCTTTGATGAGTTACTTTACTTTTCTCAGTTTTTTGATCTGTAAAGTAGTGATTGTAATTTCACAAGATTGTGCCTGGAACAGTTTTGATGGGTAACTAATATATTTTAAGGATTTAATATTATCATTACTTATTATATTTGATTAAAGATAGACAGCTTTGATGATTTGTCTAAAAATGGAAAAAAGGAATTTTAATTTATACCCAAGTAGGGATTTGATAGCGATCCCTGTTTGGGTTTCCAAGGCAGTATTGCTGTGGAAGTAGATTATCCAGTCTTCCTTCCCAGGAGTGGCTGGTGGGTTTGAACTGCCAGCCTTCTGGTTAGCAGTCAAATGCCTTAGGCACCATGCCACCAGAGCTCCTATTTAATATTATCATTACTTACTATATTTGATTAGAGATAGAAAATGTTGATGATTTGCCTGAAAGTGGAGAAAAGGAATTTTAATTTATACCCAGGTAGGGCCAAATTAGGCCAGAGCCTCAGGCTTGATGAACCCTGTCCAATTTCTTTCTTTTTTTGGATCTAGGTCATAGGAATCAAGATTACTGTACAATTTAATATAGCATCTAATTCTGATAACACTGTCACTGTAAATGAAATTGTTGTATATTCATTGCTTCTGTTTTATCACTATGGTGTTTTCAGCAACTTTTCTCCGGATCTTTACTTGGCAGGTTGTCTTTTTAACTCTAATCCTCGGCGGACTTTATGCAATTATTAAAAACCATTTTGTTTGTTTGTTTGTTTTTGTTTTTTGCATTCAAAAGCTGCTTCATCCTAGCTCTAATCTCCTTTTCTTAAGCTTTACCTTTATCCCTGTTGGAACTGCTTACTTCATCCAAAGTGACTTTATTATCTTATAAAAGTCTTATATTTTTTAACATTTAGGTTAAAATGTTTTAGGTGAAAGTTTACATAGAAAATCAGTTTTTCCCACCAATAGTTCATACGTATATTGTTCTGTGACATTGGCTGCGATCCCCACAATATGTCTGCGCTCTCCCTGTTTCCATTCATGTGGTTTCCCTTTCCTCTTCTATCTTCTCATCTTTGGTTTTGGGCAAATGTTGCCCTTTTGGTCTCTTATAGTTGGTTGTTCTTTTTCTTTCTCTACTTTAGCATTCCTGCCTCTTCCTAAAATGTTTTTTGCTTTTCTGCCCCCAGCTATGTGCTGCCCCCTTTCCTTCGAAGATTGAAAGTTTATCCATTTTACGAGTACATGTCAATTTTTTTTTTTTAAGCTTTTTTGACCATCTTAGTTTTTTGACCATCTTAGAGTGCTCTGATTTCTTTGTTCATGTATACTACTCACTTGTCCTTTATTGCTAAGACATCATTTATTCTACTTCCTTCTTTGCTGCCATTACAGATTTTTCTTGTTGCAGTCTCCATCATTCTTCCCAGATAAAGGCCTCCTTTCTTCCCATTTCTCCTTTTAGTGTAAATTTCATATGTCCCTATTTTGGTTTCCTCAGTTTCAGTTCATTCTAGTGATGCTCAGATAAGGGGAGAAGGTGGCAAGGGACACACTTAACATGGTTGACGACAAACTAAGAACTCAAGCTGTCGAGTCAGATCCGACTCATAGCAACCCCTCCTTGGGTTTCTGAGGCAGTATCACTACGGAAGTAGGTTGCTCAACCTTCCTTCCGAGTTGACAAGTCTGTTTCACGCTCTGATGCTAGACATGAGAAAGAAGGAGAGAAGTATTTTGAGGTTGGCTGACAGTCTCCCTTTCTACCTTTCCAGGGGAGAGAAAGAATAGTTGGAAAAATATCAATCTTATTTCCCTTTTCTGTATCTTTTGCTGTCACCTTTTTTTTTCCTCTGCCAGTATCCCTTTTCTCATTAAAAAAACAAAAAACACAGTTGTTTTTAACTATTTTTAGTATGTTGAGATACCTTTGTAATAGTAGCAATATCTTGTTTGGGGAGAGGGGTGCAGTGGCAGGTTTTATCATTGCCTCCAGAGTCAAAATTAAGTACTTAAGCTAACACTTTGGCCCCTTTTACATTGAAGGAAATAGTGTAGGTAGGGTTATTTTGTGTCTGGTAGATTTTTTTTTTTTAATTTCACATTTATAGAATATTTATTTATCTTGATCTATACTATTATAAAAATTATCAAACATAAATACTAAGCTACAGATAATGATATAATGAACTGTTTACGTATGTACCATACCTGGGTATCTCATGGCTGGTCATATCTTACCTGTATCTACTCTTTTTATTTCCCTTGTCTGCTGAATTATTTTGAAGGAAAACCCAAAACCATTGTTTCGTCTGTAATATTTCAGTAATATAATACCTTAAAGGGAAAGGAATGTTCTGAATTTATAACAACTGCTTGAAATGGATCATATTTTTAAAACTTTTTTGTAATTTAAGAATTAGCTTTTTACGTATGGTGGCCACACCCAATTCTGTGCCGTTTTCTTTATAGTCTGCTTGAAAATGTACTAAAAGTTTTGTAAAACTTACTTCAGTGTCTTATGTTTATATTAATTTTATTTTTAGATTCAGAAAACAATAAAGAAGACAGCACGTCGGGAGCAGCTGATGAGAGAAGAAGCAGAACAGAAACGTTTAAAAACCGTACTTGAACTGCAATATGTTTTGGACAAGTTAGGAGATGATGAAGTGCGAACTGACTTGAAACAAGGTTTGAATGGAGTGCCGATACTGTCTGAAGAGGAATTGTCATTATTGGATGAATTCTACAAGTTAGTGGACCCTGAACGGGACATGAGCTTGAGGTATAGGGTATTTGATAATAGAACTTTCTAAATGCTGCCTTAAGTTGACAACAGAAGAGGTAATTAATTAGCTATTTGATTATTTTTATAAGATTGAATGAGCAGTATGAACATGCCTCCGTTCACCTGTGGGATTTGCTGGAAGGGAAGGAAAAATCTATATGTGGAACAACCTGTGAGTATCATTTATACTTGGATTTTGTAACTAACAATCTTAAAAATTAGTTTTCCTATAACTTTGTTGGTTATCAGGGAGGGGAGGGAATACAGTCCCCCCCAAATGCATTGACCCTTTCAATTTAGTTTTGTGTATATCGCTGTACATAAATTATATTTCAATAAAATGTATTTTTAAAAAGTTTTCATATTCAAAAGTAATATTAATTGAAGAAAATTTAGAAGTATAAATTCATTTATTAATATTTTGATTTATTTTCTTCTAGTATCTTTCCCACATGTCTGTATGTAGTGTGTAAATCAAAACAACAACAACTAACCAAAAATCTGTGAAGGTCAGAGTGTTAATTTAAACATGGATTTATGTACAATAAAACATTCAAAAATCAGGCCCTGTGTAAGGTGAAAAAGTGTCAGAGAAGAAGAATTCGAATATTTCCGATATATATATTCGAATATAGAGAGCGATAGAAAAGTGGTAAGACTGCACCTTGTCGAAGGTGGAAAACTGGCTAGACCTGGAAAACAGTGGCAGTCCTGTTAAGTTCCAGTTCTTACAGGTTTCATTGTGTAACTTACTCTACTTGAAGCTGACAAATTAGCACCAAATTTGACTTTCCAGAGTTACTGGTACTAGATAACCAGCAACCAGTTGCCATCAAGTTGATTCTAACTCACCGTGACTCTGTGTGCCAGAGTAGAAGGTGCTCCATATGGTTTTAAGTGGCTGATTTTTTAGAAATAGATCACCAAGTAGATTTCCTCTGAGGTATTTCTGGATAGGCTCTGACCTTAACCTTTCAGTTAGCAGCTGAGTGTGTAACCATTCACACAGTTAAGAGATTCCTGGTATTAGATGGGTGGCTTTTGCCTTAGTATTTCTTAAACTTCTGCTGATTCGGTGATCTTCACTTTTGTAAAATTTTGAAACTCCTGATTTTAGTCTTGTTTTCTCTATTAGAGCTCCTTAACCTCAAATATACAACTATATAATTTGTTGATTTAAAAACTAAAGCAAAAAAAAGGATGAGTTAACAAGCTTCCAGAGTGACAGACTAGGAAGAAGGGTCTGGTGATCTCCTTCCAGAAATCAGCCAATGAAAACCTTGTGGATCACAATATTGCATATGAAGTCTCCATGCGTTGGGGACTGAATTGACAGCAGGTAACCGTAAGTTTCAGTACCTTAGTAAATTAGGAACTTTAGAGTCTCTTAGTAAATCAGGGAATAGATTCTTGTCTTGGCTTCCTTAAGGTTGAGTTGGAGAAGTATTTTTTAGGATATATTAAGGAAAAAAAATACCTTTATGTTGTTTTATTTGGAAAGAAATTAAATTGGATTGATTTTAAGCTTTAATTGGCAAAGCGTGATACAACTTGGAATAGATTTGCCTTAAAGAAATGGGTAGATGATACATGAAGTGCTTATATCAGAAATCATCCTCTTAGCTTTTAGCTTTTCTTGTGTTCTATTTCTTTGTGAAAAAGTATTACTAGCTTCTTTCTCTTAGCTTTGCTTCAAATGAGTACTGAATTCACTATTTGAAGTTTGTTTGGAAAGTAATTGTGTGGATAATCTTACAAGTTCAAAAAAAAGTAGTTTGTCAGTTAAACTTGATCAAATTTTCATAAGAATTAAAGTAACAAGAGATAAAGCTTTAAGGTTATAGCTTGCTTTCAGGTTATTTTCTATCTAATCTTGTGCCCACATTTTAGGAATGTGACATCTTTATAATCAATGGAAAAGTACTAATGTACCCAGTTGCCACATAACCCTTTTTTGAAAACAAATAGTTCTTAGTTAAATGTTTGTGAAATGGGAGAAGGAAAACATGAAACATACACAAGGTAGTTTTATTGTAAATAGGATTAATTTTAGAATATTTTATATACATCTACTCACCTACTCCTCAATCAATATGGTTAAGTTCCAAAGACCAGATTGTTAGGTGAAAATCAACCTTGTGTTTGGAGAATAATTGTATCCCATCACAAAATGCATGACTGCTTTAATATGTAACTACCAAACCACTGAGAATCATGGCCCAGCCAAGTTGACGCATAACCTCACAACCTACTTTATTCTTACCTTCACCTCTGTGTTCGTTACTGACAGTTATATGTTGTTAATGTGCAAAATAGATTTTTTTTACTATTGTTGTAAATGTGAAATGTCAGATAGTAAGTGAATAGTAGGTGTAATATGATCCCTCAAATTTTGTTTTTCTTTATAGTGCCCTTTGAGGGCACTACTATTAGTGACCCTACCTATCCATCTACTGTCCAAGGCCAGAAAATTGAGAGTAATCTTTTACACACATATATCCATGGCTATCCACCTTTCTTATATCCTTGTCCATTATAGTCCGTCAGTTTTATTTTGCTTTTTAAATGTTTTTAAAATCTAATTCTTATTTTCTTAATTTTTCTACCTTTCTTTAATCTAATGACATCACCTCTAACTGAATTCTTTACCCCCTTTGAAGTCCTTTCATAACTGTACGTTACATTTTGGATTAAAACAGTCATCCTTAACTCAAGGGCCTTTTGTGGTTCATCTTTTGCCAGTTGGTCCAGGTTCATCTTTTCACCTAATTCTTTGTCTTTAGTCACAGTGGCATGCTTTCATTTTCTTGTATTTGGCATGCTTCTTTGTTTGTAAATGCTGTTGCCTCTGTCTTGAAATACTTCTCTCTGCTTTACTGCCCATCTTAGAAATTGCAGCCCTTGCAAAACTTCCCCCAGGAAAGTTTCCATGTTCTGTCCTTAACTAGGCCCAATCTATTGTGACTCTGTATACTGATTTTCATAGATGTAATTTGTTTTTGTTTTTGAAAGCTCTCCTCTACTAGAGTGTAAGATTAGGGAGGGCATACATTGTCTTTTTATCTTCTTTATTTTTGTCTCATTGCCTAGCATATGATAGGTTCTGAGTAAGTACTTAGTGAATGGGTAAATGTTAATTGTCATCGTCTTTTTAGCTAATTTGCTTAAAGCACATCTGTTCAGTAAAGTATAAACTAATATTGCTTCTTACCATTCTGTAATACATTTTTGTTCTTAGTGAAATTTGATCTTTTTATGTGTTTTGACAGTTGAGGGTTTTTTAATTTTACCATGATATTTTGTAACGTAGAATCTTTCAAGCCAGGTGTCCTAACATAATTCATACTCTTTTTTTAGATAAAGCTCTAAAGGAAATTGTTGAGCGTGTTTTTCAGTCAAACTACTTTGACAGTACCCACAACCACCAAAATGGATTATGTGAGGAAGAAGAGGCAGCCTCAGCACCCACAGTTGAAGACCAGGTAGCTGAAGCTGGTGAGTATTTAGATGGATATGAACTTTGTTTTAGGGGTCTCGTTTTTATTCTACTTTCCCACTTGTTTAAGCTGTAGACTTAACTTATTATGTATGTACATTAAGATTTTTAAAGAAAGTTTAAGCATGATAAAATATTAAGATGAAACACATAATGATTCTTAGAGGTATTTGATATGAATTATCTTAACTGCTTGAAGTATTCTATGTTGTTGTTGTTGTTGTTATGTGCCGTCGAGTTGGCCCTGACTCATAGCGACCCCTCCTTGGGTTTCCGAGGCAGTATCACTACGGAAGTAGGATTGCCCAACCTTCCTTCCGAGGAGTGGCTGGTGGGTTTGAACCGCCAGCCTCCTGGTTAGCAGTCAAGTGCTTTAGCCACTATGCTGCCAGAGCTATATCAGTCATTTATCTTACTAGTCTTAATCTCTATTATAAACTCCTGTTTCTCTTGCTGCTCTGTAGTGTGCATGGAGGCTAGTTGTTGTAAAGTTCATCAAGTCAAATAGATTTTTGACTGACATGCCCTCACTTAGTTCTGTTTACCATCCTGGTGTATGGAATGAATAGTGGTTTGTTTTTATTAGGGTGAGATCCTCAGTAACATGGGATCTTAACAGTCACATGGGATCTTAACACCTAGCACAGCACTAACTTAGTAGGTAGGCATTTACTGAGTACTTTTATGATAACATAAGTTGATGAGTAAAATTATAAGTACAATGAGGAGATAGTTGGAACACACATTTTGTTAATGATATAAAAGCACATGTTCTAGAATCAGACTGCCTGAATTCAAATCTTGTCTCCCAAAAACATGGGGCAATGTACTTTGTAAAGATTTACTGCCTTGGAAACTTAACTAGGGGTGCTGTGAGTCAGAATCAACTAGATGGCAGTGAGTTTTTTTTTTTTTTTCCTTCTGTCATAGGATTATTGTACAGAGTGAGTAAGAAATTGATAGGTGAAATGATTAAACAGTGCTTGGCACAGAAGTAAGCATTTTATTAAGAATTAGTTAATAGGTCGAAATTAGAAGGGGCAATTATGTATGAGTGGAATTTAAGAGTTGCAGATCAACTTAAACATTCCTTATTGGTCCTCTTTACCCCTTTTACAAAGTAGAGGAAGATGATAATCTGTATGCTGCTTTTACCCTTTTACTTAAAAGAAAGGTTTTAGCTTGGTAGCTCTTTATTTGCATTATATCTAATCCAGAGTAAGTACTGTTGGAACTAAAGTATTCTGGAGTAAATGATAAAGTCTTTATATTTCTGTAAGGGTGGTAAAGTATAGAAATTTACTATTAACTTTATAAATAAATTCAGACTATGTGATGGCAACTTACTCACTGGGAGTTAAGTTGAATTGCCAACTTTAAAAAGATTTCTCTTTTGCACTATATTTTTGCCTCTAGAACCAGAGCCAGCAGAAGAATACACCGAACAAAGTGAAGTTGAATCAACAGAGGTATGATATTTATTGAACGCTACTTTTCCCTTTCTGCCTTTCATATAGATGTCTCAAACATTTACTTTGCTTTGCAGTATGTAAATAGACAATTTATGGCAGAAACACAGTTCAGCAGCGGTGAAAAAGAGCCAGTAGATGAGTGGACAGTTGAAACAGTTGAGGTAAGAGTGCTATAGTTCTTTGTACTGTAAGGTTGTTGTCTTTATCTTTAATTAGTAATTTTATAAATCTCTTGAGAACTAATTAAGATTGCTTTTAGTCTTTTGCATTATTGGTACTTATGTAATAAATTCACAAATTAAAATCTGTTATTTAAAAAGTAGTTTATAATTAATGGATATTTAATAGAATCACTTGGCTGATTTGATTACAATAATTATTTCATGTAAAAAGTTACCTGGATTAATCTGTGTATTGAAGTACACAATTTATTTGTTAACTGACATTAGGTTGCTTTATTAAAAAAAAATGGGGGTTCCCCTATAGTAACCTTTAGAAAGGCCTACTTACTGGGATGGGTGGGGTGTCATCTTGGACACTTCTTGGGTGTTTTTCTTTTTATCTCTGCAGATAGTAACCCTTTTTGAGAGTCTTATTTCTGATTTACTAGCCTCCTTTAAAATTCACTTTTCTGATTTCCAATGAACTGATTTGTTGGTAGGTGCCAATGTACCATTTTTGCCCCATAGGGTTTTTTTTAAATTACGATTTGGGTAAAAACTTAATGAGCAAATTCACTTTTCCATGTAGCAGTTCACATATACTTTGTATCATGACATTGACTACAATTTACCACAATGCAACAGCTCCCCTCCCACTTTTCCCAATAGTTAACCTCTTCCCTGTGTCCATCCCTCCATGCACTCCTGCCCCCTGAGCTGTCTCCTGTGCATAAACAGCCTTTCTTTCTCCATGATTATTCTCTCCAAGGAGTGGATCTACCTCAGGTAAATGTTCATCTCATATGCCTGTCTTTTGTTTGGCTGGAAGCCAAAGGTCTGGGTTCAATTCCAGACCTGCAGGGCAGCTAGGGGCCATATAGTCTCAGTGGTTCCACCAGACTCTTATCAGACCAGCAAATCTGGTCCCGCCCCTTTTTTTTCCCCCAGATGATTTTGAGTTTTGCTCCACATTGTTCTTCCTCTCTATCCAGGATCTCCTACATAGATCTCCTTCTGAGTGGTTGACTATGGTAGCCAAACACCATCTAGTTCTTCTGGTCTCATAGTCTTTTAGGATGCAGATCGCATGGTGTACCAGTCGCTAGGACTAGTTGATCCCCCCCATAGGTCTTGATGGCCCAGGTATTTTCTTCTTCAGAGCAGCTTGTGCATTTGAACACCAGCCTTTCAGTGTAACTGTTGTACCACCAGGGCTCCTTGGCTGACTGATTAACCCACTGCCATGGAGTTGATTCCGACTCATAGCCAACCCATAAGGTTTCTAGGGCTGTGAATTTTTACAGAAGTAGATTGCCTCATCATCTTCCTATGGAGCAGCTGGTGGTTTTGAATCACCAATCTTCTGATTAACAGCCAAATGCCTTAACCACTATACAACCAGAGCTCCTTTTTTTTGGCTGATTACTACTAGTTAATTACTGGAACAGTTAGCCTTGGTCAAGTTACTTGTGCTTAAACATCCTTCACAATGTCCTCTCTCACTTTAGGTGGTAAATTCACTCCAGCAGCAACCACAGGCTGCATCTCCTTCAGTACAAGAATCTCACTCTTTGACTCCAGTGGCTCAGGCAGATCCCCTTGTGAGAAGACAACGAGTACAGGACCTCATGGCACAAATGCAGGGGCCCTATAATTTCATACAGGTTGGTACATTTAGTCAAAAAACTACAGCAGAAGGTTTAAGAGTTTATGTTTAATGTAATCTCATCGTATCACAACTTAATTTGTAGGATTCAATGTTGGATTTTGAAAACCAGACACTTGATCCTGCTATTGTATCTGCACAACCTATGAATCCTACACAAAACATGGACATGCCCCAGCTGGTTTGTCCACCAGGTTTGTAATGGTACATTTTTATATGAGGTTGATTAGTAAAGTATAGGGCCAGTGCTTTTATACATTATAAAGTTTGTGAAAATTGTTCTTTTTTTTCCTTTTAATGCTTGCTTAATTTTTGGATCTTCTATCCTTTTGTTTAATAATAAATACTATATTGTGTTTTGTATAATAAGAATTTTAACTATATTTTCATAGTTCTTCTATAACTTTATTGGAATATAGACATAAAAAAATTCATACAAGTGTGTAGTTCAGTGAGTTTTTACAAACTAAACACATCAACACTTAGATCAAGAAATATAACATCACTACTACCCCAGAAGCCCACTTCGTGTTCCTTATAGTCACTATTTCCCCATACCCCTCAGCCCCATGATAACTATTTTTCGGTATCTAACTCTATAGGTTAGTTTTGCTTGACTTTTAAATTTCAGAATTAACCTAGGAATATAAATAATAGAAGAATCTTTCTCTGAAGGATGCTTGGAGGGAGATTTTGTTGTTCTAGGAGAATTTTTGAATGTAAGTGAAAATGAAGTGCAACAACAAAAAGTGAGTAAGGGAATGCTTAAGAGGAAAGGGGATGAGATAGACCAGAAGAGAGTTGCAGTTCTAAACTCTTGCTGCTCTTACACCATTATTTGAAGTAACAGCACCAAATAGAGTTGGCACTTTGCATTGGTTTACTATACTTTCTCTCCAGGATTATTATTAATTTTTTAAAAAAATTTTATTGTGATTTGAGTGAAAGTTTATAGAGCAAATTCATCCTCCATGTAGCAGTTCATACGTTTTGTCTCATGACATTGACTGTAACCTCCCACAATGCAATAGCCGTCCTCCTGCTTCTCCCCATAGCCACCACTTCCTGTGTCCTTCCTTCCCATGCACCTCTTTCCCCTGAGCTGTCTCCCGATGCATAGTCTTTCTATTCTCGCATGATTCATCTCTCCAAGGAGTATATCTTCCTAGTGTAAATGTTTAGCTCAAAAGCCTGTCTTTTGTCATTAATTTTTTTTTTTAAGTCTTGTTTTTTTTCCTAGAACATGTTGGCATTAGTGGCACAAAAGAAAAACAGCATGAAGTAACAGTGAATGTTGCATCATTAATCTTTAATGCTATGAAAGAAGTTGCTGAATTAAAACATAATAATAGAATTAAGTTGGTAAGGTAGTTAGGATTTAAATAAAGGGATGTCATAGCTCTGTCATATCTCTACCAAGAGTTAAAAAATACATCAAGGGTTAGTTCTTTCAGATAGGAATCTAGAAAATTGATAGTATTCATTTTGTGAGCTCTGAGGAAAGAAATACATTATTTTCTTGGCTGCTAAGTTGTGCCATAGTCAATGCATGCAACATTGATAGAACCTTTAAGACCATTTCTATGACTTTTCAACAAAAATGGGTGATTTCTATATGACTGATGAAAGATCCTGTATTATTTATATATAGGGAGCTCTGGTAGTGTAGTGCCTACTGCTAACCAGAGGGCTGGCGGTTCAAACCCACCAGCCACTCCTCGGAAGGAAGGTTGAGCAATCTACTTCCGTAGTGATACCGCCTTGGAAACCCAAGGAGGGGTCACTATGAGTCAGGTCCAATTCGATAGCACATAACAACAACATACTTATGTGTGTGTGTGTGTGTATTTTACATATATATATTATTATATAATAATAATTATTATTAATCATTTTGGGGAGGTGGTTGAACATAGTGGAAATTGTCATGATGCTCACTGAATGGAATATAGGCCTTTTTAAATACATGTTTATAATTATTTCCTTGTAGAAAAATTTGAAATTTTATTTAAAGTTGAGAATGTTAGAATTAACTGAATATGTAAGGTCTTGAAGAAGAGTAATTCTTCTTTGTATTTCTTTAAAAAGTTCTTAATGAATAAGGACCTCTGGTGGTACAGTGATCAAAGCATTTGACTGCTAACCAAAAGTTTGGTGGTTCTAACCCACCAGCTGCTCCATAGGAGAAAGATCAAACATTCTGCTTCTGTAAAGATTTACAGCCTTGGGAACCCTATGTGGCAGTTGTCCTCTGTTCTATAGGGTTGCTAAAAGTCAACTCAGTAGCAGTGGGTTTTTCACGTAACTAGCACTGATTCTTGTCTGTTCTGCTCTATACTTCAGTATTTTCTCACATTTTACTTGACCCTTGCAAAACAAAATGACAGCAGTTGTGAGAGTTGACTAATTATTACTCCCCAGTAAATCCAAAATGCCCACTTGAAAGCCACAATTTTTCTTACACTTCTCATTTTATTTTCATGATTGCTAAAATATTTATTGTGGCTATAGAAATCAGCTTTTAGCAACCAAGTGAAAAGTATTGAGGTATCTCTTTAAGAAATTTGGTTTTGTATAACTATTTTTTGTCGATTTTGTAGTTCATTCTGAATCTAGACTTGCTCAACCTAATCAAGTTCCTGTACAGCCAGAAGCTACACAAGTAAGAGCAATACAAATATTTTTTCAGACTTGTTTTTAATCAGTTCTTGGGTCTCTTTTTTTAGTTAGCATATGAAAAGTCAAGTACAGATTTGATTGATGTCAAAGTCTTCTCACAAATTTTTTGGCATGGGGAGCTATCAGCATTTTATCTCATATTCTCACTTTCCTTGTGATGAGGCTTTAAATTTTTCTTCTTAATTATTGGGTTTTAGTAGTTTATTATAAGGTACTAAGTACAGTTTAATTCTAAACTGAAAATTTCAGAATACATTTTAATTCTGGAAGTTAATGCACATTATGCCATTTTAGAAGTACTTGTGACAAGGACTTGGTTTAACATTGAGCTTTAAAATATACTATCTGTTGTAACTGCTAGGTTTTATAGCCTTTAAATCCCTATGTTTAAACAACTATATGTTTCTTAGACTTATCTATCTTAGATAGGCTAGACACAGGTACCTAATCTTAAGAGTTGGTGGTGTTATTTTTGGTGAAGATGAACACAGCAAAACCAGTTGGTTTATTTGTTTAAAGTCAATTTTACAAACAAAAAGAAACACTGATTTCTTTACCTTTCTCTAGGTTCCTTTGGTTTCATCCACAAGTGAGGGGTACACATCATCTCAGCCCTTGTACCAACCTTCCCATGCTGCAGAGCAGCGACCACAAAAGGAACCAATTGACCAGATTCAGGCAAGTTCTGTTACCAGGTCCTATACACATGATGAAGCCCTTAATCATGAATTGAGTAGAAGTATGTTACCATTAATAAAGTAGCTCTTATTTTTGACCTAATGCATGTACTGTAGTATTTTTCTTTCATGAAATAGTTGATTTTGTAAATATATTTAGGGGTTCTGGGTTTGGCTGAATGTACTTGCCCACTAAAGTGCATCTATTTGCTTTGGTTAGGCAACAATCTCTTTAAATGCAGACCAGAATACAGCATCATCATCCCTTCCTGCTGCATCTCAGCCTCAGGTATTCCAGGCTGGGACAAGCAAACCTTTACACAGCAGTGGGATCAATGTAAATGCAGCTCCATTCCAGTCCATGCAGACGGTAAGCAGATTAATTCCATTAATGTGAGGTGCCTAGTATACATGATGCATCATGTTAGATTCGCCACAAAATGTCTTGATTTAACTTTTTTTGTTTGAGTCTTCATCTACCCTAACTGTAGTATGGATATATTTAATTACAACAAAAAACAACTTTTATTTCTTTTTTAATTACAAATATATGCAACAGAATACTTGCTGGCTCAACATTTGTAACATGTTAACGTGTACAGTTCAATGACATTAATTTAGGTTCATTATGCTGCCCTACATCTTGTTTCATAGTTTCACCTTTTTTATTTGATAACCAAAATTTTAAATACACAGAAAAGTAGAATAACATCTGTGTAATCATTACCTAGACTCAACAATCTAAGTAATTTCAAAGTACATATTGGACATTAAGATACTTTAATTTTGATTCTTCAGTAAGCATCTTTAAATTTCAGAAATTCTAGAAAATAATTTTAGCACTACATAATTATGGAATACAGCTAAATCAGTGTTCAGAAGAAAGTTCATGGAGTTAAATACTTAAAATATAATTTTAAATGTCAATGAAAATATTATATAACTCAAAATACATAGAATAAATTTTTGTAAGTGGTATTATATCAGGAGGTTTTTGCACTCTTTAAAGATTTTTCATGTGCGTAATGATATTTCTGATGCCACTGATTGCTGTGTTTCTGGGTTTTTTTAAAAGGATTTTTAATCCCTACCTCCTACGTCATTATACTCTTATTTGCTGAGTGTTGTGTGAAGTGCATTAGTTGAAGGATATTTTATGATGATGTGTTAGAGATTTTTATAATGCTCTTTATGTTTGTAATAGAACCAACATTGAAAATCTGCTGTGCTAAAAATTAGGAAATTGTTAGCATAAGCAGATAAACTAATAATTTATTTTATTCACTTATAGGTGTTCAATATGAATGCCCCAGTTCCTCCTGTTAATGAACCAGAAACTTTAAAGCAGCAAAATCAGTACCAAGCCAGTTACAACCAGAGCTTTTCCAATCAGCCTCACCAGGTAGAACAAACAGAGCTTCAGCAAGAACAGCTTCAAACAGGTAGGAAAATGAGTGTTATTTTATTGTGTTTTATTGGCATTCCAGCTTAGTTATTGACAGTGTTAGGACCATTTAGACTTTTAGAGTAGCACTGTCCAAGAGTTAAATTATTTTTGTTTTTAGTATAGAACATGAATTTTTCATTGCTGATCCCGAATTGGGTCAAATTTATTTTGTATATGAATTATGTGCATTTGGGAGGCCTTTTCTTTTAGACAACAACTTTTTAAAATATTCTTGTTTTATAAAAAGAGTATTATTACATTTTCCTTCTGCCAATAACTATAATACTCCTGTTTCATTACATATTTTTAGTGGAATTAAACTTGTTATTTGGATCACGTGAACTTTATTTTAGTTGCTGTTTAATTAAAGCCTGCTAGCATGCTATCTGGGAGCTTTGGTGGCGTAGTGCCTAAGGCATTTGGCTTCTAACCAGAAGGCTGGTGGTTTAAACCCACCAGCAGCCACTCCTCGGAAGGAAGGTTGGGCAATCTACTTCCGTAGAGATATTGCCTTGGAAACCCAAGGGGAGGGATCGCTATGAGTTGCAAATGACTCGATGGCAGTGAGTTTGGTTTTTAAATTTCTAAGAGCTGAAATATCTTCTTTTGGTTTTTGGTTATTTAATTTCTAGATATTTAATTGGAATCTCACAAGCTAGCAAACTGCTAAAATGACAGGAATAGTATTTTTACTTTTACCAGGCTAATCAAAAGTACAAGATTTTCTAATGATCCAATTTCTTAATCAACTTGGATCAAGAATATGAACTCTTAAGTAATATATTCTTACATATCTCTGTAGAATTCAGCAATACCAGTCAGAATGGAGGTTGAATCAGGCATACTCTGATAAAAATTTGTCACTTATCCTCAGCTTCTGAGTGAAAAAACTGGGTTTCTTCCTCTCAGGCTCCTTTCAAAGCTATCTCATTGTCCTGTATGCAGAAATTTCTTGTAGAACAGATACATTTTTGTGGCCTTTAGATCTTGTGCTAATATGCTTGATATTTTGCCATTTTTGTGGATACTGTAATGAAGTTAAAAGTAGTTTCTGTACTATCATTTGACTTAATTTTGCTCTTCGTAACAGTTGATTTCAAACTGTTGGTTCTTATATTTTTCTCAGCTTTCCTGACTCTGAACCACTTGAGCTAGATAATCTTTTTCTTACCATTTCAAAATATATATTAATCATAAAAATTAACATTATAACAATTACAGATACTTTCAGATATAAAATCACTCTGTATGTCTTGTCCTCCCCCCCATAACACCTTTACACTATCAGTCTAGGCCAGGCAGCCATCATCTCTTACTTGTGGTCAGAATGATCATTACATAATGTAAATCAGATGTTTCTGTCTTAGTCAAAAATGTTACATACATCTGTAATTTGCTTGTATTTTGAATTTTAGGAATGTGATGAAAAGCCTTTTTGTATAGAAAGATCATGTTGTGAATAGTGTAGTTAGTCCTTTAAGTAGTTGGAAAAGGAGACTTGACTCCCTTCTTTTACTAGGCATCCTCTAGCAATTTCATTGCAAACATTGTATGAACTAATTATTTCCTTGGATTATTTTTGAGGATACAAAGTAAGTCAGGTGAAGATTTCCAAAAATCATACTACTTTTCTCTCTGCCCAGACATGGAAGAGAAAAGGTTTTGTATTTCTGACTAGAGGCTGCTGTGACCGTTACTGTTCTGTGGTGTGGGCTTTCCCAAAAGTACTATTAGCACCTGTTTTTTCCCTCCCTGTGAATCATGAACATTGGAGACATGTGCCCTAGCTTTTAAATTTTGAAAGTTTGTAGGTTCTGGAACTTACTCCATTGTGGAAATGGTTGCAAAGTGTAGTGTAAGCCTTCTAGAACTTTTCCTTCGAATGTGTTGAGTGGTATACCATATAACTGTCTTCCAAGTTGGATGTATTTCTTGCCATTTCACCAACTTTGAAATGGAATCAGACATTAAGTGTTCTAAATTGTAGGCCTCTGCTGATTTAGCTGCATGTAATTCATTCATAATACTTACTAATTACCAAGGGAAATACAAAAAAACAAGGAAGGAATTTCTACTATTAAAGAACTGTATAATGAGAATATTTAAATGGTATGAAATGTTAATTGTACTGTTTCAGCATGTAAGATACTTTGAATTATTGAGGATTTCTAGTGCTAAAAGGTAGGTGCCTTTCAGTAGAAGGTGTTTAACAGTATCATTGTTAAGTGCCATTGAATCTGTTTATAGAAGCAGATCTCCAGGTCTTTCTGCCATGGAACCAGTAGGTGTATTTGAACTGCCAACCTTTCAATTAGCAGCCTTTTTAACTTTTGTACCACCAGGGCTCCTTCAACTCTAGTAGCACCCTTCTACTTGTGACAACCAAAAATATATCCAGATATTGCCAAATCTCCCCCTTAGGGGAGAACCAAAGCCAAAACCAAACCCACTGCCATTCAGTAGATTCTGACTCATAGCCACTCTATATGACAGAATAGAATTGCCCTGTAGGATTGCCAAAGCTGTAAATCTTTCCGGAAGCAAATTGCCTCATCTTTCTCTCTCAGACTGGCCTAGTGGGTTCAAACCACGAACCTTTTGGTTAATAGGTAAATGCTTTAACCACTATGCCACCAGAGTTCCTCCTGGGGGGATAAGGGGTGTAAAAATGTATATAGTCTTTCAATTCATTTGTGTGGAAATATATGATTGTGTGTCCTGCTTTCGAAAGTTTGATATTGTTAGATAATTTTACACCCCCTTTAGCTTGGTAAGGAGCACTTATGGCGTAGTGCCTAAGGCATTTGACTGCTAACTAGAAGGCTGGCGGTTCAAACACACCAGCCACTCTGCAGAAGGAAGACTGGGCAGTCTACTTCCGTAAAGATATACCACCTTGGAAACCCAAAGGTGGTCGCTATGAGTAGGAATCAACTTGATGGCAGTGGGTTTGGTTTTTGGTTTACCTTGGTTGGAAAACAATAAGAACTTCATCAATGTGTCATTTTTCCTTATTGTTAATAAGCAAATTTCTTTAAGGACAATTAAATTCTGATGAAACTATATAAAATGCTTCTTAAATCAGAGTGTGGGAGAAGAGACAAATTATAGTGAGTTGTGCGTGCGTGCGTGCGTGTGTGTGTACATATGGGAGCTCTGGTAGCATAGTGCCCAAGGCACTTGACTGCTAACCAGAAGGCTGGCGGTTCAAACCCACCAGCCACTCCTCGGAAGGAAGTTGGGATGATCAACTTCCATAGTGATACTGCTTTGGAAACTCAAGGAGGAGGGGTCGCTATGGGTCGGGTCCGACTCAACGGCACTTAACAACAACATATATATATATATTGTTTTGTTTTATGATAGTCGTTGGCACTTACCATGGTTCTCAGGACCAGCCCCATCAAGTGACTGGTAACCACCAGCAACCTCCCCAGCAGAACACTGGATTTCCACGTAGCAATCAGCCCTATTACAATAGCCGTGGTGTATCTCGTGGAGGTTCCCGTGGTGCTAGAGGCTTGATGAATGGATATCGGGGTCCTGCCAATGGATTCAGAGGTAAAAAAAAAAAAAAAGCAAATCTGATGACCTTTCATTACTTCAGGTTCTTTTCTGATTTGCAAAATAAATAACTATAATGGAGAAAACATATCTCTCTCTCTGCCTAAGCTTCTTATATACAACTTAGACAGTTTCAGTAGGTCATTTAAATGATAATATTGGGGGTGAGCTTATTTATTTAGGGTCAGACAAATGTCTCCCACTATCCTCTGGGGGATAGGTTTTTTTTTCCCTTTAATTTTTGTGTGTGCATGGGTAGGTGAATCTTATATTTTAAATAGTATTTTCAATGAAGGTTTACACAGCAGATTAGCTTCCCATATAACAATTTCTATACAAGTTGTTCAGTGACATTGGTTATACTGTTCCTAATGTGTGAACCTTTTCATTAAATCTGTTCTGGTTTTTCCATTTCTATTAATCTAGTTTCCCTGTCCCCTTACATTCTCATTTTGGTTTTAAATTAATTACTGACTGTTTAGTCTTACATAGGTAATTTTTTAAAAAAGAAAATTCTATTTTCTAAGCCATTTAATACTCATAAATTTATAGAGATTGGATCAAGATTGGAAATTATGAATTAATTTGAATAAAATACCATGGCATATAAATTTTTCAGTTCTTCCCATGCTTAATAATAAAAAAGCAAAATGTCCTTTTGAAGATTAAAAAAACAAACAATTTTCTTGTCCTAAACTTTAGGAGGATATGATGGTTACCGCCCTTCATTCTCTAACACTCCAAACAGTGGTTATACACAGTCTCAATTCAGTGCTCCCCGGGACTACTCTGGCTATCAGCGGGTAGGTAAAACAGTTTTACTTCTAACTTAAATATATTAATGAACAAGAATAATAACATTGCATGATAGACTTTAGTAACTAAGTAAATTGGCACCAAATTGGTGCCTTTGTATGTGATACTTCTTATGGAAAATTAAGGTTTTTATTTTTCTTAGTACTCAGTGGGTACACATAATAAAGTCTTGTAAAACAGTTATTTTTATCTTTTTGTAAATAGAAACATAAATGTTCTTGAGATTAATAGAAGTACAAATTACAGATAACTTTTAGCTGTGATGCACTGAAATGTCTGGAAGAATGATTCTGTATTCTACACATGTTACACTATAAGAATAAAGATAGATGGGCAAGCTTTCAAAAAAAATTATACTTCTTTTCAATACTAACTAGTTTGTCTTTTAGGATGGATATCAGCAGAATTTCAAGCGAGGCTCTGGGCAGAGTGGACCACGGGGAGCCCCACGAGGTAATATTTTGTGGTGGTGATCCTAGCTCCTAACTGGAGCTTCTGTTCTGGCCTTGGAAGAACTGTTCATAGTCTGCATGTAGGCTACATGTTAGGAATACATTTATCTTTTCCATACTTGTTGCTAGGGATTAAATGAAATGCTATGTTTCTAAAAATTAATCTTGAACCCAAATTTTAATTTTTTGAATGACTTTCCCTGTTAATATATAAATTGTCTTGAAAACTAGAACATTAACTCCTTGTCAGAAAAAGTGTTTTTCCAATTGCAAATTATTTTTCAGGTCTAAAAACCTGCTAAATGTTTTTAGGAAGTACTTACTGAAACTTTTTTGTAAGACATTTTTGGAATGAGATTGAACATTTATATAAATTTATTTATTCCTCTTTCATTTTTGAAACATGCATATTATATTTTAGGGCCAGTAATGCTTTTATGGCCAGATAAGATATAGTTATATTTAGAGAACCATTTAGAAGTGATAGAACAAATTGAAATTTCATTGTCCTTTGGACTACTGTTAGTGACATAAATACCAATTATTTCTAACTTGTAAACAGAATCCTTAGTTTCCAAACTTACTGAACCATACTTAAAAATTATAGTCTCTAAGAGCTTTTTGCTTTGTTTTGTTTGCCTTTTAAGGTAGGAAAACTACTTCCTGTTTGGAGGAAGTTAACCTACTTAACAGTTAGAGCTAGCATTTCATAATCTAAAGTTCTAAATGGTTCTCTGATTTGAGGGCAGTTAAATATTGAACAGGATTCCTCTAGAAATTGGCTATAACATGTATAAAATGTATATTAAGGAGGAATTACAAAGTACTTTGATTTGAATGCTAGCAGAAATTGACCAACAAAAAGGTGCTTTTTTTTGTTTTTTTATTTTTTAATTCATGGCTCACTTGGGAATTACTGACTTGAAGTATTGAAGGATATTTGCATGTGAATGTAGGTTATGTTCTTTCCCACTTTGTAGCATATTCTATGAAAGTTGAGTTAACTGGTAGCTAAAAATCTGTTTTAACAGCATGTAAAAAGTTATTTTATCTGTTATAAATCATTAGACAATTTTGAATGTTATGTACTTTCTTTTTAACAGATTAGATGATAAGGTCTGTTTTCATTCTGGTGCTTTTATTAATTTTGATAGTATGATGTTACTATTGAAATGTAAGTTAGAGTGTACACTAGAATGTAAGCTCCGTGAGAGCAGGTACCTTGTCTGTCTTTACTGCTGTATCTATTCCCCAACGCCTGATGACAGTGCCTGACACATAGTAGGCACTCAATAAATACTTGTTGAATGAATGAATGAATGAGTACTGGTGGAATACTCCATTAGCTCTACTCTTCTTTTAGTAGAGAACTTGAGCAATTTTACGCATGACAACTTCCAGGACAGGTGAAACTTGAACACTGAAGATGTGACCTCTTAAACCTAATAATGTGGTGACAAGCTGCCCACATGCTTTTTGACTTCAGATGAAAATCTGCTTGAAGGCAAAACAAATAATATTTGAAAGAAAAACCAAATGCCATTTTTGTCTTCTAGGTCGTGGAGGGCCCCCAAGACCCAACAGAGGGATGCCGCAAATGAACACTCAGCAAGTGAATTAATCTGATTCACAGGATTATGTTTTATCGCCAAAAACACACTGGCCAGTGTACCATAATGTTACCAGAAGAGTTATTATCTATTTGTTCTCCCTTTCAGGAAACTTATTGTAAAGGGACTGTTTTCATCCCATAAAGACAGGACTACAAATGTCAGCTTTATATTACCTGGATATGGAAGGAAGCTATTTTTACTCTGCATGTTCTGTCCTGAGCGTCATCTTGAGCCTTGCATATGATACTCAGATTCCTCACCCTTGCCTAGGAGTAAAACATATACCTTAATAGGGTGATAATATCTCTGTGGTTTGAAGTGGCTTGAAAAAGCAAGATTGACTTTTTTGACATTTTCATAAAATCTTCAAATCAGCCCTAGTGTTGTTAAATGGTAATTGACAAAACTAAAATATTTCCCAAGAAAGGATGATGGAAGGAACTTTTCCACTTAAATTGGAGCACTGGACATTTGATGCATACCAAATTACGCATGGGCCCTTAATCACACATAAGAGGCTGACTACCAGCTTTGAAACAGCACTATTTATCATCTGGCCAAATGACTGGTTAAAAAACAAAAACATATAAATTGCTTTTTTTTTTTTTTAAAACAGCTGATACTGTATAAGACAAAGCCAAAATGCAAAATTAGGCTTTGATTGGCACTTTTTGAAAAATAGCAACAAATATGGGATATAATCTGGATGGCCGCTTCTGTATTTAATGTGAAATATTTAGATACCTTTTTGAACACTTAACAGTTTCTTTGACAATGACTTTTGTAAGGATTGGTACTTTATATCACTCCTTACGACATGTACATTGTCTGTCACTAATCCTTGGATTTTGCTGTATTGTCACCTAAATTGGTATAGGTACTGATGAAATTTCTAATGGATAATCATAACACTTTTGGTCACATGTATTTCCTGCAGCCTGAAGATTTTTTAAAAGAAAAAGATATCAAATGCCTGCTGCTACCACCCTTTTAAATTGCTATCTTTTGAAAAGCACCAGTATGTGTTTTAGATTGATTTCCCTGATTTAGGGAAATGACAAGTCAGTAGTTTGAGTTCTGATGGTATAAGCAAAACAAATAAAACATGTTTATAAAAGTTGTATCTCGAAACACTGGTGTTAACAGCTAGCAGCTTACGTGATTTACCCTCATGCATTGTTAGTGTCACAAATACTGTGATTATCTTCAGGAACTATTTCTGTAGTAGTTGTGCTTATCATCTTTTCTCTAATTTAACCGTAATTGAATTCTTTTCTTATGGAGGCATTTATATGCAAAGTGGTGATTTCTTTCTTTAGATGCATAGAGTCACAATTTGATAGTGATGGACAGTTCGGTAGTAATTTAGTTTTATGTACTATACTGAAATTTGTGCTAGCAGTTTGAGCACTAGTTCTGTGTGCCTATGAAAATGCTGCTTTTTTGTTGGATCTCACTTTGACTTCATGGAGAATAAATCCCATGTATGAAGGAAAGGCTAAGGTGGTAGTATTTTCTGTGCAGACATTAAATTTTATTTTCAGCCCTTAGGTAAGGATTTCTTGGCAGTAGGTACTCAGCTAATTATTATTACTAATTTTTAAATAACATTTTATTGTGTTTTAGGTGAGAGATTACATAGCAAATTATATTTCTCTTTAACAATTTTTATACAAATTGTTCTGTGCCATTGGTTACAATTTTCACAATGTGTCAGCATTCTCTTGATTTCTATTTTGTTTGCAGTGATCTAGCTTCCTTTGTCCTCCTTGCCTTCTCATTTTTGCGTTTGGGTGATCATTGACCATTTGGTCTCATTATTAATTGTTTAAAGGAGCACATTACTCATGGATGATACTGTTTATTTTATAAGCCAGTCTAATATTTGGTTGAAAGTGATCTGTAGAAATAGCTTGAGTTCCAAGCTCAAAGGGTATCTCAGGGTGATAGTCTCAGGATTCTTCTAGTCTGTATCAGTCTGGCAGTTCTGGTCTTTTTTAGGAATTTGAGATTTGTTCTACATTTTTCCTCCCTTTCTATCCAGAACATTCTATTGTGAATGGTGAGTAGTAGTAGCCGGGCATCATCTAATTCTTCTGGTTTAAGGTTAGAAGAGGTTGTGATTGGTGTGGGCTGTTAGTCCTGTGGACTAATTGCTTCCCTAAGTCTGTGGTTTCCTTCACTCTCCTTTGCTCCAGGTAAGAGACCAATAGCTGTATCTTAGATGGCTGCTTACCAAATTAGGATTTAGAACAGCTTTGTGAACTCTGTAATGCAAATTGACTAAGTTAGCCCCTGAGACTATGGTCCCAAGCCTTTTCACCCAGTAAACCAATCATGTGAGTTGTTTGAATATGTCTAGGAAGCCTCCATAACTGCCCCTCTGTGGTTTGTTGTATATGTGAATATATATAAAGTGCACACAACCATGTGTATCCTTGTGCCTGCAGATATATATCCACATGCATACTCATGTATGCCTTCCTATGTACACATCTATAAGGAGTTCTGGTGGTGCAATGAGTAAGGCATTTGGCTGCTATCTAGAAGGACAGTAATTCAAACCCACCAGTTGCTCTACAGGAGGAAGATGGGCAATCTACTTCTGTGAAGATTTACAGCCTTACAAACCCTGAGGGTCAGTGTGAGTCAGAACTGACTCAATGGCAGTGGATTTGGTCTTTTTTTTTTTTTTTAAGTAGATAAACATGCATCGTAATCTACCTATATAACCATACATTTTTTGGTTGGTTTTACTGTTGTTGTAAAATTGTATATGTTAACAGCAGTAAGCGAAATTGCCCCGTTTTCTTGTGTACTTAATGTCTTTATTTATGTTGGTCAAGTTGTGTTGGCTTTACCACATTTGCTTTTGCCATCACCAAAAATACTAAGTGTCTGCTATCTAGGAAGGGATTCCCCTCTTCTTTAACCTCCCATTACTGGTAATCATCAAAGAATGTTTCTGTGTGTGTATCTATTCTTGACCTTATAACAGTGGGACCATACAAATAGAATATTTGCCCTCTTGTGATTGACTGATTTCACCCAGCATAATGTTCTCCAGAGTTATCTGTGGTATAAGATGTTTCACGGACTCATTATTCACATTTGTTTAGTATTCCATTGTATATGTGTACCACAATTTATACATTCTTTTTTTGATGGCCCCTTAGGTTGTTTGCATCTTTTTGCTATTGGAAATAATGATGCAGTGAACATAGGTGTGCATATGTCTCTGTCAGTGCTCTTAAATCTCTAGGATACGTATCTAGAAGTAGGATTGCTGGATCCTAATGTATTTCTATTAACTAGGTTTTTGAGCAGGTGCCAAGGCTGTTGTCCATGGTGGTTGTACCATTTTATAATCCCATCAGTGGTGTATTAAGAGTTCTATTTCCCCACGACCTTACCAGCATTTGTTGTTTTCTGGTTTTTTTTTTTTTTTGATCACTGCCATTTGTGCAAGGGTGAGATGGTGGTATCTCATGGTAGTTTTGCTGTGCATCTCTCTAATGGCTAATGATCATGAGCATCTTTTCATATATTTGTTGACCACTGAATGTCCTCTTTTGATGAAGTGTCTTTTTGTGTCCTTCACCTATTTCTGGATTGGCTTGTTTGTCTTTTTGTTGTTGTATTGTACATATTTTAGAGATTAGACTTATCAGATAGGTCGTTGCCAAAGAGTTTTCCCCAGTCTGTAGGTTATTTTTTTTACTCCCTTGATGAGCATAAAGTTTAAATTTTAAGAGGCCCAAGTTACCTAATTTGTTTTTTTGTTGTTTGTGCATGTTTAGTTTATTTGATAATTTATGCTGGAAATTAGGTTCCCTGCTTTTGGCCTTATGTTGTCTTACAGGATAATTTTAGCTTTAACATTTAGATTTTTTATTCTTACTGAGTTTTTGTGCGTGGTGTGAGGTGTGGATCCTGACTCAATTTTCTGTATAAGGGATATCCAGTTTTGCCAGCACCATATGAATGGACTTTGACCTCTGTTGAAGATAAGCTGCTTGGGTTTCCAGTTCTATTCCATTGGTGCCTCTATGTCATCAAACTAGTACCAGACTGTTTTGATTACTATGGCTGTTTTAAGTTTTAAGTTTGGGGATTGGGAAGTGTGAGGCCTGCCATGCTTTAGCTATTCCAGGCCTCCTTTCTTTCCATTGTAAAGTTGGAGATTTGTTTTTCCATTTCCAAAGAATATTGGAATCCTAATTTGGATTAGGATTGCATTATATGTATCTAGGTTGCTTTAGATAGTGTTGACATTTTCACAATGTTAAGTCTTCTAATCCATGAGTCTGGTAGGTTTTTCCATTTTCAGGTACTATAAAAAGAAATCTACTCTCAGTTATTCATCATTAGACAACTGGAGTTTTTCTTGGTTTTATGTCCTACTAAAATGGATAGGCTGTTGAACATTCCACATTCAGAAGTTTTGTAGGGTGGTGGGGAGTGGGGGAATCTTTTCAGTTTTTTTTTTTTTAAATAAAAGAAGTTCTTTTCTCATGTGTGGTTGTGGTACACCATATTGGGAGGGTTGTTTACTTTTGTAAATTAGTAACTATTTCTCTGCTAGTATCTTCTCTTGCATGCTTTAAATGACATCTGCCTGGGATGTACCACAACCATATCTTAGGGGGGATGGGTAAAATATTTGTGCTTTGCTGGCTAATCTCTAAATGATGTCATACGTG